GTGGGAACTGATCAACAGGCCCCATAGTTACTCTAACATCCTTGGTTAACTTGCTCCTCACCACTGTGACTCAATGAGTTATTATATGGAACCAGAGTCAGTATTGTACAGTAATAGTAACAATACTCTTCAGGTTGCAAAAGCATTCTCCATCAGTGTTTACTCCTAAAGTACTTGCTTAGTAAGCAGGCAAGTATACATCATTATGCCCATTTTTACATTAAAAAAATTTTTTTAATGTTTATTTATTTTTGAGAGAGAGAGTACAAGTGGGGGAGGGACAGGAAGAGGGGGACAGAGAATCTGAAGCAGGGTCAGTACTGATAGCAGAGAGCCCAATGCAGGGCTTGAACCCACAAACCGTGAGATCATGACCTGAGCCAAAGTCAGACGCTCAACCAACTGAGCCACCCAGATGCCCCTCATTATGTCCATTTTTAAGATGAAAGGCTTCGGGCTGGAATGGCAAAGCTGGAAGTGGGTAGTTAGGGCTCAAACCACTGCTCAACAACCTGGCTGTGTGACTCCGGGCAAATGATTCACCCTCAATCTCCTCATATAAAAAATGAGGGACTGAGGGTGCCTGGGTGGCTCAGTCGGTTAAGCATCCAACTCTTGATTTTGGCTCAGGTCATGATCTCGCGGTTCGTGGGTTCAAGCCCCACACTGGGCTCTGCACTCACTGAGCCGAAACTGCTTGGGATTCTCTGTCTCCCTCTCTCTCTGCCCCTTCCTCCACTGGCTCTCTATTTCTCTCCCCCTAAAAATTAATAAACATTAAAAAAAATAACATCTCTCTTTATAAATAGCTAGCTAGATAGATAGATAAAAATGAGGGACTGGACTAGGTGATCTCTAAGCTCCCTTCCAACCCTAGTGTAACATGATACACAGCCTGGTGACCTGGGGGGTTGGGGGGTGGGGGGGGTGGCTCCAAACATTTTAAAAAAGACATGCTCTCTGCCCTCTAGTAGTCCACAGCTAAGTGGGGGGGGGGGGGGGTGGACAGTGTGTATATAAGTAACCCTGTCACAAAGCAGACTATACTGAAGCTTGTAGCAAAAATAGCAAGAAAATGCGGAGATGAGTGCAGAGGAGAAAGGGATAGAGGATTCTGGCTTTTAGGGAGAACAGATAATGATTAGCATGTTGATATTCTAAGATCCATGTCAAGTGCTTTCCACATAGTATGTAGTATGTATTTATTATTATGACCTCCATTTTATAGATAGGTAAACTGAGGTATGTAGAAACATTAAGTAGTCTATCTACAGTCCCATAGTTGGTGAAAGTAAGGCTTTGAACCTGGGTATTATGACTGCGGAACACATACTCTTTTTTTTTTTTTTTTTTTTTTTTTTGAGTAACCTATGCACCCAACGTGGGGCTCAGACTCCCAATCCTGAGATCAAGAGTTGCATGCTCTACTGACTGAACTAGCCAGACACCCCTGAAGCACATACTCTCAGCTACCAAGCTAAACTTTCATGGTTCCCAAATTGCAGGACACACCAGAATCACCCAGAAATCTTTTTAGGGGCTCCTGGGTGGCTCAGTTGGTTAAGTGTCCGACTTCTGCTCAGGTCATGATCTCACGGTTTGTGAGTTCAAGCTCCACATCAGGCTCTGTGCTGAGAGCTCAGAGCCTGGAGCCTGCTTCAGATTCTGTGTCCCTCTCTCTCTCTGCTCCTCCCCTGCTCTCTCTCTCTCTCTCTCAAAAATGAATAAACATTTTTAAAAATTAAAAAAAATATATGTTTAAAAAAGCACATTCCAGGTTAGGGGCCAGGTTCTAGGCCCTTAACCTCTTGCTATTCTGATTCTCTGATTCTGGGGTCAGGCCTGGGAATCTGCACTTGGTGTAATAAATTCTCCAGGCACTTCTGATATACGTGTTCCATCCCCCTTGAGAAACACTGTCTTTATCCTCAGAGTTTCCTTAACTTGCCTGATCATAAGAATCACCAAAGTTTCTTGTCATATATATAGATTCCCAAGCCTACCCCTGGACACTCTGATTCTTAAGCGTAGGCAAGTTTGGGAAACACAGGGCATTCTTTTACTTAGGCTATGCTTCAGGCTGAGAGCACACTCGTATAGGCCTGTCTCCTCAGAGGCTGAGTCTGGTGTCTTTGGATGAGGACAGCCTCCTTGAGAACATTTCATATCATTGCATGCATGAATCAAGGATCGGCAACCCTTGGCTCATCTGTGAAAGGATGGTTCAGGAAGTGTTTTGGCCAAGGCTCAGCCTCTGCAAAGATATGAAACTGTCGCATTTCTCTTTGTCCCTTGCCCTCTTCAAATGTTGGTCCTCTTTCCTATCCAGCTCCATTTCCTCTGCCCTGGTATCCCTTTCCTTATGTCCTGAATGTGTTTCCTGGCTTTCTGAACACCTCTTCTTTCTCCCTTGCTTATTCTTGAATCGGTGTCAACGAATGGCTGGCTGTGCTAACTGATAAAGTGTGAGGAAAAGAAACTAACATTTTTGAGCCCTGTTACATGCCAGGCAGGGACTGTTAGCTGGCAAGATTTTACTTATAGCCCTGATAGAGACAAATGAATTCTTAAAGGAATCTTGGCCAGAGGAGGCACTGGGAAGATACTCTTAACAACCCGGCCCTCCCCTTACCAGCTCTGAGGTTTGTTCTGCCCGAAAGCACTCCTTGCTGTTGGAGACCTTGGGCCCAGTCTCAAAGTCCCAAGAACTTCTGGGAGTGCATGTGGGAAGGAGCTGGGACCTGTGGATAGGCACAATCCCAGCATCCTCCCAGTCCTATCCCATCCCAATGAACATCTGCCAATTCTGATAGAGAGTCCAAGACGGCCAATGTCTTCTTTGGACAAGAGTTGGGACTTTTCTATGCTCTGGAAAACTGAGCATGAACTGTTCAGATATAGTTCCTAACTATGGCAATAGACCCCTGATGCAGCAGGTTGCCCTAGGATGGTTTCTGGAAGGAGATGAAAGGAACCAAGATTTATGGAGCACCTGTATATTATCTCGTTTAATTTTCACATAAATTCACTGAGGGAGTGGATGGAGCCTCCTGGGAACTTTGTGTTTATTGGCTCTCTTCTCTCTTCTAAATTTCCATTATGGAAAACTTCAAACTCACAAAAGAAGAGAAAATGATAATATGAACCCCCAGGCACCCATCCCCTTGCTTCAGCAATTACCAACATGATGTCACTGCTATTTCATCTACTCTCCCCCTGCCACTTGTATTTTTTGGCTGATGTATTTTAAAGAAAATCCTTGGCACAATATCATTTCATCTGTAAATACTTTAGGACATAGCCCTAACAGATTATTTTTTTTCTTCCAAATTTTTATCTAAATTCTAGTTAGTTAACATACAGTGTAATATTGGTTTCAGAAGTAGAATTTAGTGATTCATCACTTACACACAACACCCAGTGCTCATCACAACAAGTGCCCTCCATAATGCCCATCACCTATCTAGCCCCTCTCCCTCCATTAACCCTTAGTCTGTTCTCTATCATTAAGAGTCTCTTATGGTTTGCTTCTCTCTCTCTCTCTTCCCCTTCCCATATGTTCATCTGTTTTGTTTCCTAAATTATACCTATGAGTGAAAACATGGTATTTGTCTTTCTCTTACTGACTTATTTCGCTTAGCATAATATACTCTAGCTCCATCCACATTGTTGCAAATGGCAGGCTTTCATTCTCTTTGATGGCTGAGTAATATTCCACTGCATGTGTGTGTGTGTGTGTGTGTGTGTGTGTGTGTGTATATATGTATATATACACACACACATACACACATATATACATATATACATACATATACACACATATATATACATATACATACACATATATATGTATATACATACATATATACACATACATACATACATATATATACATACACACACACACACACACACACATATACACACTACATCTTCTTTATCCATTCTTCAGTGGGTGGATACTTAGGCTCTTTCCATAGTTTGGCTATTATTGATAGTGCTGCTATAAACATCAGGGTGCATGTACTCCTTCAAATCTTCTCATAGATTATTTTCTTTCAAAAAATTATTTTTATATATTTTAGAGAGACAGAGAGCACAAGCAGGGGAGAGGGGCAGAAAGAGAGAGAGAGAGAGAGAGAGAGAGAGAGAGAGAATCTTAAGCAGGCTCCATGTTCAGCGAGGAGCCTGACACAGGGATTGATCCCACAACCCTGGGATCATGACCTAAGCCAAAATCAAGAGTTAGACACTCAGCCAACTGAGTCACCCAGGCACCCCAAATAGATTATTTTTAACACAACCACAAAAACATTATCAAACCCAACAAAATTAACAATAATTTCTTAAAATCCAATTCCTGTTTGTATTCATTTCCCAAAATCGCCTCAAAAATGTCCCTTCCAGCTGTTTGCTTGCATCAGGATCCAGACAATATCCACACATCCTGCATGGGTGACATGTTTCTTACGCTGTTTTCACTTACAATAGTCAGCTCGCTTCCCCACCCCCAACCCCACCAATATTTGTTGAAAAAACTGTCACTTGTCCACAGTACACTCATTTGGCTTGATGAAATTCAGATTCACTTTTAACACGTCTCCCTTCCTCATATATCCTGAATATTGGTAATTAGTCCTATAGACCTGACTAAATTCACATTTTGGCAAGAGCTTCTGGAGTGGTTGGGTCCTCCCTTCCGCATCACGTTAGAAAGCACGTATGATATAGGCTGTCCCACTGTTAGTGATGCTGAGGGTGAGTGCTTGGCTCAGGTGTGTCAGCCTGAGCCAATCACTATAAAATTCACTTGAGGGAACTTAATTTAAAAAACAAAAAATGTTGCCTAAGTCCTAACCCAAAACTCCTGAATCAGAAGCCCCTCCACCTATGTGTTTAAAAGGCTCTCCTAGAGAACCACTGCATTATAAGGGTGTAAGGGTGATCCTGATTCTCCACGTCATTGGAGTCTGTGTGAAGGGCAGTCTGGCCCACCATACCTTCCAGCTGGTTTCAGGGGCTGCTTCCAGGCACCTTCTGTCCTCATCTCTTTTCAAGGAGTCCAACAGTGATGTCTGAGTTCACTAAGCTCTGATGAGAAGGAAGCCCAGCCCTGAGAAAGGTGACAAGACAGGAAGCGTCATTGAGACCAGCCCTTCACAGAGTAGAGTTCTTCTGCAATCACTTCTGTGACTCTCCCCCGACCCTGGGAGCTAGACCAGGCAGGGATCATAATATCCCTTTAACAGATGAGGAATGTAAAGTTCCATGTGGTTATAAAAACTCACATAGTAAGTGGCAGAGCCAGGTATGTACCCAGGACTCTGAATTTTTAGTAATCGCCCCAGGTGGTTATGCTGCAGGTGGTCCAAGAACCACACCTGGAAAAATACTGAATGTTTGGCACTGTTCCATCCTGGCTGCACAAAGCTTGCCCTCGAGGAGCTCACACCCCTGGAGCGGAAGAGAGAGTGTGCTGGTGGCTGTAACGTATGGTGGAAAGTGATCAGTGCCATAAAGATGGTTCAGATAAACTGCTGGGAGGGTAGAGGAGGAATCACTCACTGCCAGTGGGGGAAATGCCACATCTGGAAAATGTGGCACTGAGCTGAACTTTGAAGGAGTAAGGCTATTCTGGGGTAGAGGGGACAGCACTGGCAAAAGAATGGAGGCAAAAGGAAATGTTATAGCCTTTGGGGGGCTGGAGGGCTTGATGAGATGGGACTGATCAAGTATGGAGGTTCCACGGGAAGGAAATGAAGCAGAGATAGTTGAGTAAGAGTTTTGGGTACCTGCTAGGAGACCCCTGCTGGGACTTGAGCTCCCAGCCCACAGGAACACTCCCTATTGGGGATGCTGGTCCCCTCACATACCTCAATGTGACCCTGCTAATTAATAGTGATCTGTAGTTCTGTGCCAGGAGGCAGATGTGAGCACTTTGCCTACCTTGCCCCACTAATTTCACCCCCATTCTTAGAATGCAGGTACCGTTATTCCCTGCATTTTACAGAAGAAGAGATTTAAAATGTCACACTGCTGCAACATGGCAGAGCTGGGATTCATGTCCTTCTGGCTCCCTCAGACCGCACTTCTGACTACTCCGCTTCCTTGTTTCTCACCCTCTTGGAGAGTGAAGACCCTAACAGCCAACTGCCTATTAAGCACTGGGATCTTCTCCATCCTTCTGCCTTCCTAGCATTCTGCCCTCTCTAGCTCCAGGGAGTTCTTCTGCCCTTGCCTGTCCTTCCATCTCCCCAGAGCAGCCCCCACTTAGCAGGTCTCTTGGGCTTCTGTGCAACAGGATGCCAGTTCCCCCAGTTCTTTTCTGCTTTTTGGTCCCTGGAATAAACCCACAGTCCCTTTTCCTTCAAGGGCTTACTCCTATTCTCTGCAGGGACCCAGGCACAGAGGCTACAGAGTAACAGACACAGGCTGAGGACAAAGGTTTAGAGTCTTGCCAAGTACTCAGAGCGCTGCTCCCTGGTTCCCAGTGGAGATCCCTGTGGATGCCCCCTGAAGAAGAGCCTGGTCAGCAGATGAGAGGCCCGAACAGCTTGTGAAGGTGGAAGAATAGGCCAGGAGGCAGAGCTAGGCAGGACCAGCCCCCAGGAAGCAGAGCTGCCTTCCGCTGGCTCTAGCAGCCGCCTTTGTTTGGGATAGAGCTGAGAGATGAGCTCACCCTTCCCCGGTGCCAGAGGAACCAGGACCCGAGGAAGGAACTGGGGGCGGCCTGGCCTCCTCCTGCCAGCTTGCCCTTCCCCAGCAGAAGGCCAGCCCCAGGCTCTTGGCCAACCTTGCACTGATCTTGCCCATCCCCATTTTGCTGAAGACACGGGTGGTGTCAGCAGAGCGGCAGGCATGCTTGCGTCGGGGTCTGCCCCATAAGGCTCTTCTCTCTTCCGAGACCATAGCCAAAATGGCCAGAGAAAATCCTCAGTCCCATCTGATTCTCATGGGTCCCTCAGTTGGGCTGGGCTGGGCAACTTTGCCAGTGACACCAGAGGCAAAGTAGGCACTAGGACTCCTGACCACCTCCTGGGTCCCTGGTAGCCTCCCCTGCACTCGGAACCGACAGGAATGAACTGTAACATGCCTTAGGGCAGGGCAATGAGAGGCAGAGCTCAAATGCCAAAGGTCAAGGCAAGCAAGAGTTTTCAAATGGACAGACAGGTCAGGACTATCAGTATGACAGCCTGCCCAACTCCCTGTCTCTTGTGTTTCTTTCCCAAAGCTGGGGTTACTTAATCCCCCCAAAGTCAGGCCTTGCTCTGTCCCAGGCCCAATCCAGAGGCTCAGAGGAGTTGGCTTAAGAAAATCTGGTAGCTGGAACCCCACTGGCCTTATGCTTCCTTTCTGGTCGATGGGCTTGTTCCAGGCACCAAGCTTCCATCTGATGTCTGGTAACAACAGCTCCTGTGCAGTGCCACACCCTTCACACATATTACCTCATCCAATCCTCACATAACCCTATGAAGGGGGTACGATCTCCCTGTTTTACAAATGAAGATATCGAAGATTAGAAGGTAGACCTTCTGGCCAAGTTCACAAAGCTGGAAACGAAGGAGGTCTATCTGGCTCAGGGGCCCACGCTCATGACCACTGTGCCATGTTGCTGCCTCAGCTTCGTGCTCGGGATCCCGTGTCCCACTTTTGGCACCTGGACTTTGTTGTTTTCACTCGCATTTGAGTCCCTGCTTTGATCTTGGCTGAGGTTCAGTTCTTTCAGAACTAAGGTCTTGCTGGACTGAGAGCCACCTCACGATCAGGGCCCTGCCTGCCCCTGGACCTCCTGACACTGACTACCAGCTGCCACCCCCAGACCTCCCCTCTGCTCATCGTACTCCCTGCCCTGGCTTTGCCCTTTTCATCTCTCACCCAGACCCTTCTACCTTCTTCCCAAAAGCGCACGGAAGCCCTGCTTCTGGTCTCTTTCCCCTCTCAGCCCTCCTCAGCGCTGAGCAGCCAGAGTGACTCATCATGTCACCACCCCCATTCCTGCCCTAAACCCCCCACTGGCCAAGAAACCAATCCAAATTCCTTTGCGTGGCATCACAGAACCCCACTTGCCAGCCTGGCTGACCTCATCTCTCTCTGCCCTCCCCTCCTGCTTTGTTCCAGAGCCAAGTGGAATGAGCCTGCTTGTCCCTGGATCTTGTTTTTAGCGTTCCCTCTGTCAGGAATGCCACCCCCACCCCTCCCTCTCCTACCCTCTGAATCCATTCTCCTGACTAACTTCTTATCTTTCAAGACTTGAGGTAAACTTCACCATTATGAAGCTTTCCCTGCACATCTTCCTTCAAGTTTAAATCACTCCTCCCTTCTCAGAATCCTCACTCCACCCTTACAGACTTCTATTAAAGCACCTGGAACATTAATCTCACTTATTTTGTTTCTCTCTCCAAATCCCCCACTATACCAAGAGTTCTGAAAGGCAGGACTGTGTATGATTTCTCCAGCACAGGGTCTGGCACAAAGCCTATGCTCAGTGTTGGCTGAAGCAATGGGTTGACTGATACCTAAGAGGGTGCCCTGGGCACCTCCCACTCCCCTCTCCACAGGGAATGACCTCTTCCTGGTGGCTGTGCACGAGCTGGGCCATGCGCTAGGACTGGAGCACTCCAACGACCCCAGCGCCATCATGGCGCCCTTCTACCAGTACATGGAGACACACAACTTCAAACTGCCTCAGGATGATCTCCAGGGCATCCAGAAGATCTACGGTGTGTGGCAGGGGAGAGGGGGCTGCTGCTCCTTCTTAAGGGCTGGGCTGTGACTAGCTGCCTGAGTGGGTTGTTTTCTTAAGCAAGAAAAAAGGAGAGGCTATGCTGATATTTTGATAAGATATAAAAGGCCTGCTACCATGCCTCCCTCCCAGTTCTCTGTTCACACTGGTAATGCAAAGGTCTTGTTTTGGTCAAGTCAGTTGAGATGGGAAGACCAGTTTGCTTGAGCAAATGTATGTCAGCATAGCCCAGGCCGCCTCAGCCCCTGGGCTATGAAGCACAGGAGGAGGGCCCCTTCTGGAGGCCTTGATGACCTCAGAGAGCAGATGGCCCCAACCAGAACCCTGGAGGATGGGCGGGATCTCCACAAGTGAGGCAGTGGAGGACTGGAAAGGGGAGGTAGGGACCAAGATGTTTTGAAAGTAGAATGGACAGGATTTGCTGATAGATCCAACATGGGGGTGAGGGTCAAGGACAACACCAAGATTTCTGGCTTTTCTAATTGTGGGGCAATAGGATTTACCAGTCTGTTGCTCAGAGAGCTGGGCTGGGATATTGATTTGGAATCCTAGGTGTCCAATCTATAGCCACTGGCCACATGTGACTATTGAAATTTGAATTTATATTAATTAGAATTAAATAAAATTAAAATTTCAGTTCCTCTGTCACACTAACAACTAGTCACGCATTTCAAGTGCTCAGCAGCCACAAATGGCTGGAGGCTACTGTATTGGACAGTGCTAATATAGAACATTTCTGTCATCACAGAACATCCTATTGGACAGCTCCAACATAGAGGGTCTTTAAAGCCATGAACCTGGGCACCTCCCCACTCCCCTCTCTACAGGGAATCAAGATCACTTAAGGTAGTGATCTGTGACTAGGGGATCATTGGAATTACCTTGGAATTTCCATTTTAAAAATGCTCTCATTGTCAGAGATTGGCTTCTCTTTGGTCTTGGGTGTCTTCTGAGCATCTTGAGTTTTAAAAGCTCTCCCAGTGACACTAATATGCAACGCAAGGGAGAAAACTGACATAGGGACAAAAATAGAGAGAACACCCAGGAGCACTCCAACCTTTAGGGTAGGGTGGGTGAGGAAAGGCTGCCAGCAAAGGAAGTGGAGAAGGAACAGCCCATAAAGTAGAAGGAAAACCAAGACAGAACAGGGGCCTGGAAAAGTGCTCCTATGATCTTGCTACTCAAAGTGTGGGCCTCAGACCAGGAACACTGGCATCACCTAACAGCCTGAAGAAATGCAGAATTGCAAGCCGCCCCCCCCCACCCCCCACCCAGACCCTCTGAGTCATAATCCCCATTTTATTAAGATCCCTGGATCTTGATATGCACATCAAAGTTTGAGTCAGTAACCCTGGGGTTTGGCAACATGA